TCAAAGTTCCACAAGGATACTCCTCAAATGTTAAGAGTCTTGTGTCTATGCAAGAGTTGAAATTAGTTGGTTTAAAGTCTCATGATTGTCATGTGTTGATGCAACAACTTTTACCGAGTGGCTATTCGAAACATCTTACCAACTTACGTTAGAATTGCTATTACTCGGTTATGTTTGTTTTTCAACGCCATTTGTAAAAAGGTAATTGATCCAAAAAAGTTAGATGAATTAGAAAACGAAGCAATTATAATAGTGTGCCGAGTTAGAAATGTATTTTCCCCCTTCATTTTTTGATATCATGGTGCATTTGATAGTCCATTTGGTAAGGGAAATTCGGTTATGTGGTCCAATTTTTCTTAGATGGATGTATCCTGTTGAGAGATACATGAAGATCTTAAAAGGATATGTGAAGAATCGATACGAGCCAGAAGCTTCTATTGTGGAAAGGTACATTGTAGAAGAAGCCATTGAGTTTTGTTTAGGATACATGTCAAAATCGGAACCAATAGGTATTCCTAAGATGAGACATGATGGAAGATGTGAAGGTAAGGGTACTCGAAATTTAAAGATTAAAAATGTTAGTCGGAAAGAAGTTGACCAAGCACATTTATACATATTGAACAACACTGATGAAGTAATCCCTTACATATCACAACACATAACTGAAGTAAAGGCAACACATCCACGAATGAATGAAAAATGGGTATTGAATGAACATAACAAAAGTTTCCTTTCTTGGTTTAAAAAAAGGGTATATGTTGAGATTAATGTTTCAAAAACACTTTTGAGACTTTCTCGTGGGCCTAATAGTGATGTCATTACATTTGGTGGGTATGACATTAATAATTATTGTTTCTACTCAAAAATAGAAGATGATAAAGGTAGAGTACAAAATAGTGGGGTCACAATTCAAGCTGAATCTATGCATTTTTCTAGTTCTAAAGACAAAAATCCTATCATAGCTTCTATGAGTTATTTTGGGGTCATACAAGAGATATGGGAAATTGATTATGTTACTTTTAGGGTGCTTGTCTTCAAGTGTAAATTGGTTGAAGGGAATACAGATGTGCGAACAGATGACCTAGGATTTACTTTGGTTGATTTGAGTAAAGTTGGGTATAAGGATGAACCTTTTATTTTGGAATATCAAGCGAGACAAATATTTTATGTCAAGGATCCATGTAATGAGAGATAGTCAATTGTCCTTGAAGGAAGAAGCATGCACGAAATTCATGAAGATGAGTCTCTAGATATACATGAAACACCTTCATTTTCAAGTAGACCATTTGATGACATAGTTGACAATGAAGTTGATGACATACATGCAATTCGAAGTGATCATGATGAAGGGATATGGGAAAACATACCATCATAATAGGTGTTTATCTTCACATTTTTTAGTTCTTTTTATTCAAACTTATAAAGTATGTTGACTTCATATTGTTTTGTTTTTCAGGATATGTCGGATTCCACATCGAGTGCTTGGTAGTGGTAGTGGCGGTGGCGGGAGCGGAAGTGGAGGTAAAGGTAGATCTGTCACTCGGTTAAAGGGGTTGACAGCAAGGAGGGTAGCTAGAGAGAAAACTCAAGTTGAAGTTGATCCATGTTACGGTAAGGCATCTGGCCCAAATGATGCTAAGTTTAAGAGCTATTTGGGACTACTAGCTCGACACCATGTTCCGATTACTACTCCATCTTGGGATGATGTAGAGGAAACCGAGAAGAACCTCATGTGGCAAGATGTTCAGGTATTTGTATATTTGTTGAATACTTTATATATCATTATTAATTGAATTTAACATTTATTGGTCATTTCATAGCAAAATTTTGATGTTCCTAACACTGAGGTGATGAGGAAGAAGATTTTATCCTCCATTGCCATTAGATGGAGAGACTTTAAGACTTTCTTGACACGGGAGTATGTATTTGGAAAGTTTCAAGATGAATCTCCCTGTCTAAAGTATCAAATTAGTGAGGAGGATTGGTTACGGTTTTGTGCCGGCCGAATGGACCCCTCTTGGCGGGATAAAAGATGTGCTTGCCCAACAACGTCGAGAGGTTGAATGATGCACCCCATGTATTGTCACGAGGAGGGTATGCATTATTGGAGCAACGTCTCATGAAAGCCGAGACAAGAGTCGGCGGGAGTTGAGTCTCCGACATTGCATCTCCACCCTCTCGCTATGAGATGTGGAAGGCAGCCGGACAAAATCGATGGACGAGATGACTTACGAGTTCGCACAAATCATTGCTCGAGAAAATCGTAAGTTATAATGTCTATTTGAATTGATTCTAATGTGAAAGTTAGTGTATGACTTAATTATTGTTAATGTGTTGTAGGATGATTTAGTTGAGCAGAGCACCCAAGGATCATTTATTCCTCATGGTCGACAAGATATATTGGCGACGACCATAGGAAAACCAGTTACTCGGGACGTGTGCGTGGTGCTGGTGGATCCTGGGGCCTTCATGATTACTTTGGTCCAACATCACGAAGGACCACTACTGACTCTTGCAGCCAGGAGGCCTTGCATTAAATGGAGATGCAGTTTGAAGAAAAGTTAAATCAAATAAGGCAGTCCTTGCAGCAAGAGTTTGATGAAAAAATTGAATCTCTCACCCGCTCTCAGCAAAAGACTCAAGGAACACCTCAAACAATTGAACATGATGTTGTTCGAGTCGGCACTAAAGGGAGTTGTGCTTGCTACTACTGCTGATCCTTCAGGAGAATATACTCGGATCGATGCATCACACCGGTGTGAGTTATATGTTGAAGATGACCCCCCACGTCTAGTGGCTATTGGTCGAGTTTTTGAGGGTGGCTTAACCATCCATGGTGTCCCTCTACAGGCAGACTAGACACGAGTAGTAGTTGATGAAGTTCATGATGCTAATGCTCCAGTGCCTTTTCCTAATGAAGAGATTCAATTAGTGGGGTAGGCAAGCGGGACATTCTTGGCTTGTCCAAGACGTTTGGTTATGCTACTATCAGCACGAGACCAAGGTAATATATATATATATATATATATATATATATATATATATATTGTCTATTTTCTCTTTTCTACTATTATAATTATATAAATGTTTAATTCATTATTATCATTTGTTTAGGAGGCCTTGCGTCGTGGTAAGCATAAAAAACAACCTATTATTGATGAGGATCGACGGAATGTGATGATGATCCCATCTCTATGTTGTTGACCATATTACCACGGTTAAGGAAGAGACAGTGTCGAGATACAATGGGATGTTAGAGTGTTTGGAATTGACGGTTCCAGTATTCCATTATACATTTCTTTGCCCGATGCTTTAGAAATTGCTTGGGGAAATTGCATGTTAAACATTTCCATCATACAATTGTGGGCAATGTAAGTCATTCTCATTTATGTTTCTAATATTATAATAATTATATTCAACTTATAATTAATTGTTTTAGGTACATGGACAAATTGAGTGTGGAACAAGAAAAATCCGAAGTATACGGATTTATTGAGCCTCAATCCATCCAAAAATCTGGAAATACAAAGGTTGGAATCCAACAATATATGCAAACATGGATGAGTGACTCAAAAAGACATATATATTTGGCTCCATACATTGAAGGGTTAATATTTTAATTTGTATTTTAATTTATATTTTTGTAACTAATTTTTATGTCATACAATGTAGGTCCCATTGGCGAGTTAATTGTAATCATACCCAGGGATTACATCTGTGGTGTGGTTTTGTTCATTACATCGAAAACCGAGTCAAGAAATGAAAAGCTTATTACAAGGGTAAGTTTATCTTTTATTCATTAATTATGTTTTTAAATTGTAAATACATATTGAATAATATATGACTTTTTTCACTTAGAATCGTGTCTAAAACTAATGTTTTAAGTGGAAAACCTAGAACAAAGACTTTGCAGTTCATTTATCCTAAGGTTAGAAACTTATTTATATAAGTGAATACCATAATTATTGTTTGTATTTAAATTTTGAAAATAACATTATGATTTTTTCATCATTTTAGTGTAATAAGCAAACAGACTCGTTTGAATGTGGTTACTATGTTATGTATTGGATGAGAGCCATAGTGTGTGCGGGTATAATGGATTCTTGGATGGAGGTAATTGTTTTTAATATTAGTTAAGTTTATTTAACTTTATTCATGTTGCATGTTTACAATAGTCAAATTAAGGTTTCAGGTATTTCAAGATTCATCTCCATTACCAGAATATGATATTACACAAATTAGAGAACAATGGACAAATTTTTTTGTTCAACAATTCTAGTACATAATTTTTTAAGTTCTTGTTCATATTATATTGTGTGTATTATGTAGTTTAGGTAGCTTAGTTTGTATTAACTTTTAGTTTGTAATAGATTTTTTAGTTTGTATGTTTGTATTATATTGTTTTATTATGTAGTTTGAATTATATAATATTATATTTTTAATTTACTAGCTAAAGAAAATTGAACCTCTGGACTATCTGGTTGTAGTGTATATTTGCAGGTTTTAGTTGTAAAACAGAATCAACCCAATTTAAAAAAAAACAGCAAATTTACGTCGCATATTGGTATATGCGACGTAAATTTACGTCGCATTTGCCATATGCGACGTAAATTTGCTGTTTTTTTTAATTTCTGAAAGTTTTTACGTCTGTTTAGTGGTATATGCAACGCAAAATTACGTCGGGTCTTGATAACTGACGTAAATTTACGTCGGGCTAAAGGGTCCGACGTAAATTTACGTCTCCTGTTTTAACGTCAGTCTTAAATACGACGTAAAAAGCCCTAAATACCTGACGTAAAACCCCCTTTTTGCACTAGTGATCGTGTCTATACTTAACGTAGAGGCCCAACATTCATGGATACACCCATATATTGGCATATCTTTCACATGGCATAAAGCCAAGAAATAAAGACGAGAAGGCACAATTTTGAAGGAGAGTGGCAAGATTAGTAATAAACTTTTTTGTCGTGGGTTCTCAGCAACTATACTTCGATGCATATCTAAGACTCGTGCCTTAGAAGTTGTGGCAAAACTCCACGAAGGACCAAGAAGAAGCCACATTTGAGGTTGTTCTTTGGCCATAAAGGTTTTGCATGCATGATATTATTGGCCATCCATATGTCGCGATTGTGCATAATACACATGACGATGCCATCAATGTCAATTACATGCGGACGACCACATTGCAACTCTAGAGCCCTTGCACACCATTGTATAGTCATGGCCTTTCCACAAATGGGGGATGGGTTGGTCCTTTTCCAATCTATACCAGGCAGGTTAAATTCCTGCTTATTTTGATAAACTACTTCAGATCGAGACCGAACCAGTTGCAACAATATCTGTGAGAAGGTATGCCACTTCATTTGAAGGGCCATCATATGCCAATACGGAGTGCCACATATCATCATCACGGACAATGGAACCCAGTTTGATAGTCGTCAAGTCCGCGAGTTGTGTGAACACTTCCACATAAAACATATCTTCGCATCAGTTGAGCACCTGCAAATGAATGGTCAGGGCGAAGCAACAAGCAAGGTAATTTTGAGAGGCCTAAATCGAAGGTCAGGAGAGCAAAAAACACTATGGGTAATAGTACTACCCCCGTCCTTTGGTCATACCACATCACAACCCAATTTATTACACGCGAGACACCGTTCAACTTAGTCTACGGAACCGACACAATGCTTCCCATTGAGGTATCTGAGCCCACCGAGCGAGTTGTTGAGTTCACCAAGGAGAACTCAGAGCATGCTATCAGAGCGGATCTTAACTTCATCAACGAAACTTGCAACCAAGCTCACATCTGAATTAAGGCGGCAAAGTGTCGAGCATCATTAGTTTACTCCACAACTCACCTGCAAGCATTTCAGGTGTAAGATCTCATCTTAAGGTGAGCCCAACCAAATCAAATCCACAACAAGCTCTCGGCTCAATGGATCGACACTTATCATGTGGCAGAGGTAATTGGGAAAGGTGCATACAAACTAGTGACCCTCAGTTAGGGACCAATCTCGCAAACATGGATTGCTGTCAGTTTACGTTTTTATTATAGTTGATCTATTACATTTTTGTTCCTTATGTCTTGACGCTCTTTCAACGAATAAATATTTGTACTAATGCTCTTGGAGTTTTTTCTTCCCCCTTTAGGGTTTTCCTCCAAGATTGTTGAATAAAATAAAATATTACGAGAAATGCTCGGTCTACATGACTACCCTATGAGGTTGGACTACTTGGCAACCCTGTGAGGTTGGTCTACACAGCAACCTTGGAAGGTCGATCTACAAGGCGACCATGTGAGGTCGGTCCACATAGTGACCCTATGAGGTTGGTCTACACGACAACCCTTTAAGGTCAGACTACTCGATAACCCAATGAGGTCTACTTACATGGCAAACTTGTGAGGTTGGTCTATTAGTGACCCTGTGAGGTTACTTTACAGGCAACTCTACAAGGACGTTTTTCCCCAACCCTATGAAGTCAGACTACTCAAAAACCCTATAAGGTCGATCTACATGGCGATCCTTTGAGGTTGGCTTACAAGTGACCCAGTGAGGTCGCTTTACAAGTAACTCTATGAGGACCTCTTACCTTGAGAGGTCAAACGACAGAGCAATTCTATGGAGTTGGTTTATACACGATCCTATGAGATCGGTCCACTATATGCGATAACATAACAATAAGTAACATAACACCGATTTAAGAGAAGGAATAAGTAATGATCACTTAGCATCAACATGATGTATATAGAGTACAACAGTAGTCTAAAGTATTGGTTAATACAAACTTTCAATAAATAAATGACAAATAAAATACTAATCGTGCTCCTCCTTAACTATCTTTTCATCTAGCATGCTTTTGAATGGCCCCATGGTAGATACGTCGACCCGACAAAAAAGAACCGCTACTTATTCTAGAGCGCTAGAAAAAATAGTTGCATACATTTTGGCGATCTCGATCTTTGTGACTGATGAAGATCATGGGTGTAGACCTCAAATCTTGCCCGACCTTACAACAAAATTAAGAAATCCTCCGTTTTGAAGATGGACAAGGCTTCATCGGGCCCCTAGTAGTGTTTACTAGGATCCATGTAAGAAAAATAGAGTTTTCTTAGAAAAGATAAAGAATGAAAAAATAAAAATTTTGTCAGAAAATCTGGGATAGCTGTCCCACCTGATTCTGAGACTTGAGACTCCCGTTCCGATTCTGAGACTTGAGACGCCCGTTCCGATTCTGAGATGCCCGTCTCGACCTCCTTGGTAGTGCGGGATGTAACCCCCTTCTAGATTACATTTATTAATCCTAATTTATTATGTAAGTTAGTAATATTTTTAATATATTCATAGAAGGCTAATAGAAAATATACCAAGAGAACAAATAATTTAGGTAAAGTTCTATATTAAATCAAGCAACAAGTTCTAGTACAAAATTTTGAAAATATTACAAGTCATAAAGTTATACTTATATATTATACAATCCCCAACCTATGCTCTGAATTTTTGCATCTGACATTTATCTCTTGAATTATACATTCCTGCATCACACGTCACCAACAACTGGGATTGAAATATTTATGAGGTTAGACATTTAATTTTATCCATAACTAATAAATCAATCATGGAAACATAATATAGAATATCATACAAATCATGAATAATCTAAAATTTCATCATGCAATATGTTTATGATATGCACATGTGACTCAAAACATAAAACTTTAAAATCATGCATTTGACTCTGAAAAGATCATTTTTGACTCAGTGCTCCATGGAGACTTTTATGAGTGTCTAGTGGAACTAGGGCTTAACATCACCCTGTCTGATGCTTCAACAATGCCCCACTAAACTCGAATAAGTAAACAGTAGTTGGAGTGTCAGTGCACACGCCAGGCTACCACGACACAGAATCAAATAAAGACTGGTCACTTATGGGATTTCCATGCCCAAACACTCCCTAGACCAGAGGTCCAACCCCATGGACCAGAGGTCCTGTCTTAACTATTCTACTCCCCCATTTATTATCAGAGATACTGGTAGCTCAATTCTCAATCATTCATTCTCATAGATTCTTTGTCTCATTTGGCCAGCCATTTTCGTAGTCATATTCTGCTACCAAATGCTCTTGATAGTAAATTTTTAAGAAAATGACTCACAAAAATATTTCCAAAATTCTATTTTTCACATCATTGTTACTACCAACCGTCTTTGATAGCAACTTAGTAACTTCCAATTTATTTCGTAAATACTTTTTTGTGACTTTCAGAAAACATTTCATGCTCTATGTTTGTGTCTTGAATGAAATGAAACAAAACAATTTATCATCAACTAAGTACTTAGAAACATCTCATTCATATATTCAAAATCTCAATTATAATTCATAGATGTTTCAGACAAGGCAATTTCTATTAATAATCTATTACTTTCCAAAAGTAACAAATTTCCAGAAATTATATTCACTTGATTGCATTAATCCAAAACTCATATGAAAGATAAGGAAATATTGGACTAGAAGAAAATACCGGAATGATAGGGAATATTATTCTAAAAGAGTGGACGCTGGAACAGTTTGGTTCAATGTGTCGAGTTCTAGTCCTCCTTTTAAGCTGATTCCAATCATGTTGGAAAGGCAAGACAATAACCTATAACTTTGATGAAGGCACTAACCTCAAATTCAAACGTTTACTAAGTCGTTTTCCTAGTAGACAAGAGGTAGTATTGGGTTGTTTTGGTTGTATCTCGGATTATACCCTTAACCTTTTTCAAAATTTCATTGATGTCCCTAGGGGCTGAAAATGACTATTTTATCCTTGAACATTTCATATTATTCCATCCATGTCCTGAAAATGACCATTTTACCCTTGAACATTTTCTATTATTCCCTCCATGTCCTGAAAATGACTATTTTACCCTTGAACATTTTCTATTATTCCATCCATGTCCTAAAAATGACTATTTTACCCTTAAACTTTTTTATTATTCCTTTCATGTCCCGAAATCATTATTAAATTACCGTTGTACCCTTAATCTTTTTCAAAAATTCTTCTCTTATCCCTTTCTTCAACCTTGCTTCCAGTATGTCATTTCCAACATTCCATATTTAAAATTTTCTAGTTTCAGACAATCAAACTAGTTCCAAATCCAAATTAAATCCTAAGCATGTTCAATTTAAGTTAAAAACAATAATTTTATCATATAATTCATCCTTAATTTCAAGAATTTTAGCAAAATTTCAAACTTTGCAAAACAGGAAACAATTATCAATTATCTTCAAAGTCAGACATTCATATGATAAAATTAAACATCTAACCAATACCTATTTCTCCAAGATTTGCTAGTATTCCACCGATTTATTTCTCAATTCCTTCCTTTTATTCTTCTTCTTTCAAATTTCGCTTCTCGAATCTGGTGCTTCTCTGTTTGGCCATGAATTAGTTGTCCAATTTCATCCTATTTATAGACTTAACTTATCGACTTAAATTCCTTCTCGACTTTTCTTTACCGCCTTAATTCTCTATCACCTTAATCAAACCGCCTTAATCAAACCGCCTTAATTTCAATTGTATATTAAGGCCATAATACCTTCTCTTTCTCTCTTTTCATTTTTTGTAATAAGGATATCGTACATCATGTTTTTTTTTAATATATCCTTTCTTCTCATAAAAAGTTTATATAATATTTATATAATAATTTGTAGGAACTTAAGCATATAATTAATTACAAAAATTGGGATGTTACATGGGACGCCCATCCCAAAATTCGGATGATCATCCCGAGGCACTTCTTCTAACGAGACGGTCGTCCCAAATCCCAAACGGTTGTCCCGCTTGACAAATTTCGGGATGGTCGTCCCTGACCTCCTTGGTGAGCATGCCTATAAATAGGACGTCAAACCTCACTATTTCACACACCTCGAAACACCTGGAGAGACCTCTAGACATCTCTAGACCTCTCCTCACCCCTGGGCATTGTTCCAAACTCCAAGTGAGATCATTCCGATTGTCCGTTTAGGCAAAAAATCGGTTAAGGAAGTCTCCTTTGAGACATCCGGATCTTGGCAGTTTAAATTTGTATTTGTTCGAGGGAGGAGTGCTCGTGTAGTGCAAGGGGATTGCCAAAAAACTTCCTCAAATTTAAAGGTTTAAAAGCTTGTTTCGGAGGTTCTTCTCAAACCCTTAATCTTTTATCGCTTTCCTTTGTGTGCATTAAAAATTAGGGTAATGTAGAAATTTAAATAGGATAAATACTGCAAATAAATAAATGAAAAGGGTTAAAGCATAATTTCTAAAAAATCTTTATTTTATGAATTAATCCATCATAGGGAACCCGGAAGGGTGTTGTGGGGTGCTAACACCTTTCCCACGCGTAACTAACTCTCTTACCCTACTCTAGTTATAATGACCAAAGTTGTTTTTTTTTAACCAACGCCTTTTTTATCCTTTTTCAATGTTTATGATTAAAACATTGGTGGCGATTCCATAGAAC